AGAGGATATTTTCATTTGAAGGAGAAAGCTCTAGATCGTATCAAGTGGAGGAACTGTTTTGGAAGAGACTGTGGACCTGTCGTCTTGACAGATTACAGATGAATGAATTATATGAGTAGTGCTCATGAAAATAAGTAACAAAATGTCACTGTAGAACCGTTATTTAACTATAAATATACATTACATGTATTCATCGATAGAAAACTCAGAAGTTGTACTTTCTTTATGAACGTAATACTGCAGATTTGAAGAAATTGTCAAGTTCTGTCTGAACAGACAAATGACCCATCTGACTTCATAAATACCACGTGTCTTTTTGAAAATATATACTCAACTGTGAAATTTTTTTTCATATTTCAATCCAGACTAACTGTAACCGGATTAACGAGGGTTTACTGTATTTTAATAATCTTTATATCAAGATTTCTTTCCGAAACCTTTCAATATCTTAGCATGCATATTCACTGAAATTTTTACTCAACGGCTGTGATGTGTAAGCGCGGATCAAGGAAGTGTCACGGGTGGAAACCTCAGCGATAGACGGGAATATTCCGCTCTCGACAGGCATTGAACTGTTTTTCTGGAACACGCTAGATTATGCGAGATTTGAAGTTACGGCGACAACAGGATTACGATCTGTTGTTGTATGATGCTGAAGATTTTGATAGGCGTGTATCGACTTTCCATAGGAAGATGCTATCTCCATGTTTACGTCGTGTACCAGTAATGCGACACACTTACTCTGGAGAATATACGATTCTTTTTGCTAACGAGTCTTCTTCCCTGAAGATGGAGGCAAGAGATGCCTCAGAAACGTCAGTCCACGCCGCGCGCATATGCTTCCCCTCCCCTGGGCTGACGCGACAATTATTAATGTTGAATATTACGTAATATATGCATAAAGAATTGGAAAACAACGCAGGTTCCCAGAAAACCTACCTTCTCTACGATATATCATAGAGTTTACTACACACTAAGTAATAATAGAAAAAAAATTATATTTTAACTTTCAACCAAGTTATAACGTTTTACATTTTAAGACTAATATCCAAGGTATAATGAAACGCTGGTATTGTAATGAAATTCATGTTAGTGGCTACTAATACGAATTCATGTTAGATATACATAGATCCACAGTTTAGTAACGAGGAGTAGGTTTCATGAAGAATCACCTGATGATGATCCAGCTGGATCGAAACATGTAGCAAACGTATCTAAAATGAATTGATAATGCAGTAACATCGGTTATTTATTCCTAATTATGTTGACGGTTGTATAATAGTACTGTATGTCTTCAAAGTCTATATAAATTATAGAAGATCGTTTTTCTTTTTGACCTGTATCGACATTAAATTTTGGAGATCTTCTTCATCGTGTCCTCCTGTATAACTCTGTAATTTCTATTGTTCAGGGT